CTTCCTCAACTGTAGCTATGTATCTCCAGACAGTCTGAAGCGAGAAGGATTTTGCTCTGTGCTTGACTCTTGTTACAGTTCATTTTCTAGGAAGGGAAAGAACATTCTCTTGAATACACAGGGGCTGGGGTGGGGGGTGTGGGGTATGGGGCAGATTGGAGATGTGAGGGACAGCCCTCTGTTTTGAAAATGAGAGCCAGTGGGATTTATTACTTACATTCTGTTTTATTGCATCTTCTTCTTTAAGTCTGTGCTCAAACCTCATTATTTCAGGGAGGGCCACCCTGACTAGTTTAAAAATCCATCAAGACCCATACACTGCTCTTCCCATCCTCTTCTCTTCTCCCTTTGTTAAACTTTTCTTTTACTCTCTAATCCACCACATGATTAGAGTTTCCCATCAAATATTGTAAGCCTGAGGGAGAATTTAGTGGGTGCTGGATACTTACCTATTTAATGAATATATCTGTGATTGCGGTCCATTACTGTGTACACAGATAGCTGTGTGTTGTACAGGATTGAGTGTATTCAAGATTTGCTCGCTTGAACAGTCTCTACTTCCATTTGGAAAGTTGTTGTGGTGACATTGAACTTCAAAAACCTGTAGATGGGAATAGGATTGCTTCTTTCCGGAACTCTACCTGTGTCTAACATAACACAGAACAAGGTCACAGTCACTGATACTCTGAAGGGGGACTTTGCTCTCAATTGAAGACAGCCATATAATTTGAATTACAGTCTTGGTTGTTACTCATTTGCCATGTAACACTTTGATGACTTAAGTGAAGCCATGTAAAAGACTAAAGAACACACATCAGAATTCCTCTGAGCAACATTAGTTGCTCTGGGTTTTGTTTGTTTGCTTTTTGCTGCTCAAAAAGTATGGTTAAAAGGGTCAGGAAATTTGAGGGGCCACAATCACCAAGCTTTCCCTAAGGGGAGCCCCATATGTAAACTGCTATTCTTTGACTAAGAGCCTTTGTTATAAAGTAAATGTTTTGAATTAATGGATTATTACATTTTTCCATTCAGTTACAAGTCTAGCCCCTAGCTATGAACTAAGAGGTTCTTTAAATTGCTTCACAGACTGTTCTGTGTGGAATGGGGTGAGGTGTGGGGCACTTTTCCTGCATTCCCTTTTGGTTCCTGATCTGTTTTTCTCAGTTTTTCACAGGTATCTCTTTACTCTAGGATTGTATTTTTCTAACAGTGCCTTAATTTCCCTTCAGTTACATTGAGCTAAAGAGTAATTCAAATAATGTTTATTTAAAACTACTACCCAGTAAAGCTGGGGTGGAATTATTAGAACCAGGCTGTTTGGTAATTACTGCATTTAAAAGAGATTAAACTAATTCCAGTAATGTATCTAATTTCTCCTGTGGAGTGAGGAAGTTAAAAGGTTTTGTTTGTTTTTTAAGAGTTGTGTCAGCTAGATGTAAATGAGATCACACTTCCCAAGACCAATGCTGAGCACAGTAACTAGCTAAGGGTGAGAAGACAGGGTACCCTCATTTGAATAAAAATACTAAGTCACCTCTGAAAGCTCCTAAAGCTCTACTGCTGCTTATGAAAGTTCCTCGGCGTAGGAGGCAGAGCCTGGGGGCGTGGCTGGGAAACAAAGGTTGGTTCATTTTCCCTGTATCAGTTCACTTCCCTTACACCCAGAGTGGGACTACATTCCCACTCTGTAAGGAGATTTACTGGCTCCTGTTTAAAAGAAAAAAAAAAAATCTTGATGTACATAGTGGCCTTGTGAAAACGGGGCCATTTCGTCATGATGTGACTTCCAAAAAGCAAAATCTGCGATGTGTCTATTTGTGGACTCCGGACAGGAGAAACTTCTAATGTGTGAAGCGGAAATGAAATGAATGGGCACAGAGGCCGAGCGCTTGATGCAGCACTCATGCAAATGAGGACCGTGATTGGCTCTCTTTACGCCTGCTGTCGCTGGCTGCTCCCAGCCTTTCAGATTAGGTTTCAGTGGGAGTTTTTCTGGTTCAAGGATTGCTAATGGTTTGCAACCACCTGACTATAAACTTGACCTCAGAGTTACAGCAGCTTTGGTAGTCAGCTGTCGATGAACTGTAACCTGAGGAAGAAAGGTGGACTCTCCAGAGGAGAGTCTCTGCAGTGGGGCGCAGTTTACCACCGACCTAGTGGACCTAGCTTTTGTTTAAAAGTGACTTCTAATCCTGAACCTATGTAGGTGCTGCAGAGAGGAAATGGTGGTCTTCATTAATGCAAAGATTAAATCTTTCTTTAAACTTTTAAAGAAGAAAAGTAAGTAGTTCTGAGACGTGTGTGTGTGTGTGTGTGTGTGTGTGTGTGTGTGTGTGTTTTTCTGAGTGCTGAAATCACAATGAAAGAGCTTAATAGCCTTAAATTAATCTCTATGGTATGCCAGGTCATTGAAATGCCTTGGGCAGTATTATGTGCCCTTGGTCTGTCTTATTTATTTATGTTTGGGGTTTTATGTGGCTTTATTTCTTTTATACTTCTCAAAAGAAGTCCTTCAAGGAAGTCTTTGTGTTCACTCTTTGACTTGATATATCCTGTGTGATCTCTGAGTGTGCAGCTGGATGAGTGGTTGAGGTATGAGCCACTATGTACTGAGTCACATAGTTCTGCTGGGGATGATCCTCTAAAGCCCCCTGGTATTCTGTGTTATGGATTTCAGAGCTTGAGGACAAACTGTCTAGACGGATGACTGTCATAAAGCAGTGAGCTTTTGTGTTGTGGCTTCGTTGTGTATTTCCTGTCAGTTTAAATTACGTTAATCTAGGTGTTTCTTCATGCCCGTGAAAATTTAATTTTACAGTGACATGGACTTTTTTTTTCTACTAGATTATTTCTGTGTGGCTTTGTGTTGCCTTTTGATCAGTGACAGGACCTAGATAAATGTGCAGGGAGGGTCTCTGCACACAGGGATTAGAGACTACAACAAAGAACAACACTCTCCTTCACTTTCTGTCTCTCTAGCTCAAAGCCTGTCTGTGGACGGACTGATATAAATCTACCATGGCAGGAGGCAGGTACAGCAGGAAGAAACAGCTGCTCTTTCAGAGGAGCCAGTTTGTATCTGTGCTCTGGGGCTGATGATACAATTACAGGGCCTTAGACACCATCACTTGGATTTGATTTGTAACAGGCAAAGAGGCAAAATTTCCTTTTTCTATATAAGGCAATTAAAACTCTAAAATAAATAAACATTAGAAAAAAACATTTTAATGAATTCTATGTGTACTTTGAGGAACCTCTGGCTGTTTGGAGCTGTGTTACTCTCTGTGTTCACTCACAGAAGGCAGAGTGAAGACCATGCTTTAGGAGTTTATGCATTAAGGCTAGTGGTGTTATGAACCCTGAAGAATGTTTGTTCAATATGTAAAATAGTAGGAGCCTAGTTTAAATTCCAATCTTTGTCAAACATTATAAACAGAAAAGAGCATTTCCGTTTTAAACTTTATATCTGGTTCTCAGTGTTGATTACCATTTAGCAATTTATCGAGAAGGTAGCTTCTGTAAGTCTTTTGAGATCCATAGGACTTTAAAACGTGGTAACAGTAGGAAAAATTGTTAGTAGGGTGGGTTTTAGGTATATGGGAGCCAGTCTAAAGAAGGCACCATTCTTCCATGGAAATAGTTCTGGGGGCTCCTTAAGAATTCATTGTCTGGGCCACAGCCTTGCTTTATACAGGTTATTTGATGAGCAACCTTAGTCTATTTGGGCTCTACAGTAGTCTTAATTACTGCATTATAGGGTATGTCTAGTTAATTTCAAGTATGTTCAAACAGAGTCATTATTTCATTTATTTTTCTTTTCCTGTTCTTTTGAGATTGTGTTTTATCCTCTAGTTCCCAGGTATACACTCTGTTGTTCTGTTGTCAGACTTACCTCTGACTCATAGTCATAACATTTCCTGGCTCTACATGAGTTATATTTGCTACCCAGGTAAATGCCCTGTTCAGAGGCTTGCTTTTACATACGTCTAGTCTCTCCTATGCATAAGCATGTAGCAGATATATAAAAAGTATTGAAGCATTGCTGATGAATGTGTTTGAGTGCTGCCAGCTTCTAGACACCACTCCAGGATAGTCAGTGCTGATGGGAAATACAGAACAAAGAGATCCTAAGCTCTAGTGGAATGTAAGAAAATTATCTCAGAAATTCATCTTAGGCTCAATGTCTCTGCTGGTGTCCTCCTAGCAAGGTTTTGGATTGTTTTGCATTGAAAAATTGCAAGTGAATTGGTTTGTGTTAGATTAAGTCAATTGTATTTGACATTTTAAAAAACATTAAATACGGGAGTATCCCATGAAAGCATAAATGAGAGAATTTTATAGCACAGATGGTGTTCAAACCGAACATTACTAGGTTTTAAAGTTTTTATTTACAATTTTAACAATGGTGTTTTTTGGTTATTCAATGGAGAAATATTTGATTCCAACCTTATGTTGGAGGAATTTGTTTCGGACTTGTACAGTTGGTAAATTTGAGTTTGTTGTGTGTGGATAAAAAGGAATGAGAAGTCTCTGTTAAGTTTGTCCATCATTCTTCTGAAACAGGAGCAGGAAGAGGAGTTCTGATTTTGAGACAAAGGAAGCTGAGCAAACACTGCTATGAACGTATTGTGCGGTAGATGGACAGTTTTCCATTTTTCTCTGCAGATGTAGCTCAGTGGATAAAACCCCTGAAGCCTGAGATGGAGTCTCTCTGGAGGTTACTCCTTTGTTCCTGGCAGATTCTTACCTGTGGGTGTGTTAAATGCCACAGCCTTATCTTTCTCTTGTTTTTCAAGCTCGGTCTCAGTGTATTCCAGGCTGGCCTGGAACCCAGGATGTAACTCAGGCTGGCATCAAACTTGTAGCAATCCTCAGGCCTCAGCCTCATAATGGTGGGATTAAAGGCATGAGCCACCATGCCTGGTGGCTGAGACCTATCCTGAATGTCACAAATTCAGAGTCATCAACTGACATGTAAATCTGTTCTTTTTTCTCTGTAGCGGTTTCCAACTTAGACGAGGAGAGTCGATGGACTGTCCACTACACGGCACCATGGCATCAGCAGGAGAATGTGTTCCTTCCCACCACAAGACCCCCCTGTGTGGAGGACCTGCACCGCCAAGCCAAGCTCAACCTCAAATCAGTGCTGAGGGGTAAGACAGCCTCCTCTGTGGGCTTGCTGGACTTGAATGGTTAGGAACTGACATCATCAATTTAATCACTGTCTTTAAGAGAAGAGGTGTGGACACTGAATGTCTCCATAAATGCAACCTTACATATGCCAAGAAGCTACTGGCCCTTGTAAGACCCTGTCTTTTTACTGGCTTGCACATCTGCCTTCAAAGAACCCAGGGATGCTTAGATTCCTCTCCACATGTTCCAACCGCTAGTATTAATCTAATCCAAATAAACTTTTGCTGATGTGGGATTTTGCCATTGCCTTTTAATTTTAAAGCTGTTGAGGGTGTTGAAAGGAAATTTGCTAAAGCTGGTGCTTTTAAACGGTCTGCTCTGTTTGGTTAATGTTAGAAGGCGGGATGGGGATGCTTCTATATGTAAACTTTGACATGATGCTAAATAATTAAGGTATCAGAATTCGATAACGCCCAGCAGGGCTCTTCTGACCATAGATTCTGTTGGCAGTGGCTGCGAAGTATAAGAGTCATGCATTTCTACAGAAATTGTAAGACTCTAACAAAAGTTGATGTTGAAAAGAGCAAATGAATAGTGAAAGGGTCTTTGCAAAGATGACAAAGTGGGAGGCAGGGGATTCTTCTGAAGGACAGGGTTCACTTGGAAAGACTTGGAGAGACTTTGTAATAAAACAACACACCAAAGTTCTTACCCTACAGGGCACTATTCCTATCAGATCTCTTATAATGTGATACTGGGATATAAATAAACCAAAGAAGTATTTGTGATTTACTTGAAATTTAATGAATCTCAACACCATTTCTATTACCCAGTTGTAGTAAATTTGAAACTTGAACAGTTCTGTCATTGACCCAAGGAGAAAGCATTTTGAGGAAACTCTGGCTTTATGAGAATTATTACTTATGTATCTGTCATTTTCTAAGTGAGTTGTTTGTTAATGCTTTAACACAATGATACCAATGCATGCCTATTAGTTTATTACAACATTCTCAACCTGTGGGTCATGACCATCAGGAAACACATATTTTCGGTGTTTTCAAGAACCCCCAGCCATAACTTTATTTTCATTGCTACTTCATAATGGTAAATTTGCTACTGAACCCTATCTCAGTTCCTAAGACCGTTAGAAATATGTTTTTGAGGTTTTAATTATGACTTTGTGAATCACGGCTGGATAGGATGAAACGACAAAAAGTGACTCAGTTCTTTTCTGTTCTGTATTTACTTCTGATCACTTTTGATCCACTCAGAACTTTGAGTCCCTCTTCCCCTGCATCATCTAGCAAACTGAAAGAAACAAAAGGAGGGTATCCATTGCTTCCTTGCCAGTGAAGGTTCAGAGTGATGGGAAACACTTGTGAGGGCATCAGAGTGTGGACACACAATATGGCACACTGAGTATCTCCACATATGCATACAGTGGAACCTCAGACATCAAAGCATAGACACATAGTATGATACACTATCTCCATGTATACATACTGTGGAAACTTGGCCTTGAATTAGCTATCAGTTTAATTCTCCCAGAACATTTATTTTTGCTCAAAAATATAGAAAAATATAATTCTCTATAGTGTATAGTCTATTTCATTCTCCCTCTTATCTCTCTGCGACCTTGTCTTTAAAGATCTTGTAACATTTCATTTTTGCAAAATGTGAGTGCTGTCTTGTTATCACTCAAGTACTCTTATGCATGATTTTGTCCCTTTCTGTAGGAGAGAATCTAGATTTGCCTAGTTTTAAAGACTACAAAGTACAAACGGCAATGGTACAGTGAGTACTAATAGATTAACAAATAAACACCAAACATATACTTCTTAAAGTAACCTGGAAGTGCTTAGTGGTTGGTCCAGTGACTGAGGAGGGCACATATTTATGGGAAAGTGCACTGTTCTGAAGTTAGGTTTAAATTAATGTCCAAAGGCAGATAATTGATACAGTTGCTTGCTATCTGAGTATCAGTTTTGTACTTACTTGTTTGCTTGCTTGTCTGTCCACTTACTTATTTAGACAGCATCTTGTTCTGTTATCCAGGCTCTACTAGACTTTTGCCATAGCCTCCTCCGTGCTGGGACCATTAGTCTGTGCCTCCACCCCCATTATCATTCTAGGAGTCTTAGAGTGAACCATTGTCCAGTTTTAGGGGCCCAGTTTGGTGTCCTAACTACTCAGGCAGCTTTGTAGGTGAGGTGTAGCAGGTGCATAGGGAATCTTGAAAATGAAAGTACCAGGAGGCCTGTTCTCCAGTTCTTCATCAATCTCCTCCTTGGTCCTTCACTTCCACACTACAGGGAGACTGGTCTTTCCAGATGTCTAACATGGTGTATGGCACATCTGGAAGCAGGGGATCCCTTGTGCACTTTCACTGCTCAAAATGTAGCAAAGATTATTTGTATTCGTTGTCAGTCTCTGGATAGCTTGCTAAAACAGAGTGGACACATTTTTAGATCAAATGTTGGTTTTGTTCATTTGCTACTAGTGGTTTAGGTTATGATTTACTACCCTTGAAGATATATGTTACCTAGATTGAAAAATACTATTTTGATGTTTGTTTGTATTGTTTCTTGGATTCTTTTTTTTTTTAAGATTTACTTGTTTTTATGTGTATCAATGTTTTGCGTACATGTATGTCTGTGAATCACATGCAAGCTTGGAGCCTATGGAAGCCAAGATAGGCTGTTAAATTCCCTGGGCTGGAGCTATGGACGGTTGTAATTGTATGGGTGCTGGGAACAGACCCATGAGGCTATCTTTCCAGCCTCTTGTTTAATTTAATAAGACATCTGGTTTACTGAAAATAGAGAGGTTTGAAGGTGGATTCCATTGTCCCTGAAGAATTCTCTTAGCACTGTGCTGAACTCGAGGAAGGTTTTACCTTTTTTATCTCCTGTGGCAGTTTGAATATATACATGCCTGACCCAGGGAGTGGCACTAATAGGAGGTATGGCTTTGTTGGAGTAGTTATGACCTTGTTGGAGGAAGTGTGTAACTGTGGGGGTGGGCTATAAGATCCTTCTCCTAGCTTCCTGGAAGCCAGTCTTCTCCTGACTGCCTGCATATCAAGATGTAGAACTCTTAGCTCCTCCTCCAGCCCCATGCCTACCTGGATGCTGCCATGCTTCCTGCCATGATGATAATGGACTGAACCTCTGAACCTATAAGCCAACCCCAATTAAATCATTGCCTTTATAAGAGTTGCCTTTGTTATAGTGTCTCTACACAAAAATAGAAACCCTAACTAAGACAACTCTGTAAGTATATGTACCGTTATGACTTTACTGGAGACAGTTTTGATGAAAGATACCCTCTTGATAACCACATTTTATCTACATGGCCTTTAGCTTTCTAGAAAGAATCTCAAGTTGAGTGGGAAGAGGGATTGGAAGCTAGGGATTGACTCCAAGAGAAAGTCCTTGTTTGTTTCTCTACAGTTTTCAGACTTCATTTAACAATAATGAGCATATTAAAGACTGAAATAAAGGCATCATGTTCAAGTCTCCAAAAAGCTCAACTTGGAAGATATAAATACAGTTTCTCACAGTATGTTTAACAGATAGTTTAGTCACTGTATCTGTGTACACTGCTGCCTGAATTAGTTCACAGAGCATCTGCTGTTGGTATCAGGAATGTTCTTGTAGAGAAATGCATTTTAGCAGGTCAGTTTGCTCCATGATGGCTCTAGATTCAGAAGTGCAAGCACAGGGAGGAAGGTGTATTCAATTTGGCCCATGCTCTTTTAAAGTCAGAGTTACATTCATTACATCTGAAAGGACAGAGCTGTGGATCTGTGATGCTATGAAGAGACTACTTTTCTCAGGTGCTTAGAGAGAAGTGTATGTTTAAAGTCCAGTGTAGGATAGCTTTCTATGGACCAGATTTCTGAGTAGATTCAGCAAGATTTCTGAGTCTAGTCTTTTCCCCTGGATATGATGCAAGAGTTGGATTTTTGGACACTTGGGTCTCTGAGACCTCACAGATATATTTTGTGTCTTGGGCAATAGATTCTTGTCCTGGAGATCCTGTAATAGGAATCTCAAAGTATCTCCCCCTCATTGTGGAAGAGGTGTCTGTGGAATGAGGGGTACATTTTAGTTTAGAATGGTGACATACAGATATAAGTGAGTAGAACATAGGCCCTTTTCTGAAATGGCTGCCATGTTTTAGTTGGAACTATCCCTAAATGCTTTACTCCCATCATGTACTGTGGGAGGGTGGGAAGAGGAGGAGGAGGAGGAAGAAGAAGAAGAGGAGGAGGAGGAGGAGGAGGAGGAGGAGGAGGAGGAGGAGATGGAGGAGATGTAAGTTGACATTGAAAGCTATAGTCATGATGCTATGGTTCATGTCATCCCCATTTCCCAACAGCCTCTGAATAACGTACAGTAGAGATCTTGTAGGTTCCCGTCAGTCTGATGGTCAGCCCTCTCACATTCTGTAGACAAACCAAAGCCCTTAGAAGCTGAGGGATGTCCACTCTGCAAGCCTGTTGTGATCTCAATTCCCTGGGCATCCTGAGGAGACTTGTATAGCTGCTGTCAACTTCCAGAGAGTTCATAGGGACAGGGCTCACCCTGGCAGTTTAATGTCCAAGGCAGGTTTGGTTTCTTAAGGCAGTTCATTTAGGAGATTCTGATGAACTCATTGTTGCCCAAGGTAGCTTCACAGTTGTTCTGTAATCTTCTTTTCACTCACCCAGATTTCATTAGCATTCAAATTAGTGCAAGAGACACAAAGAAGCTCTGTGTGGTATCAGGTGTGACTGGCACATCTTACTGCCATTTGGTGTTTGTTTCTAAGGTTATATTAGGCTCTAGTACCTCAATAGACTTAAAATATATGAGGTATAGATTACAAGGGAAAATTATAATGGCTTGGGAATAATAGATAAATAACTTACCACTTATAGTTGGTACTCTGCCTAGCTTCCGACTTCCTGAAGAACATTGAGATATTAAAAGAAAAAGCAGAATATTGCTAGCTAAACAAAAACATGTTAAATTCT